ACGGAGAGTCACCTGCCCTTCCCACAGGCGTCTCTCACCTGTACCACCTGCAGGGGGTAGGGCCGGAGCTCTGGCAGCCAGCTTGCTTGAAACCAGCTTTACTGCTCTTTCTGAATATGAAGATAGGACATTGCAATGATGGAGATTTTGTGGGAGATCGCAGTGATGGCCCTGATTCTTTACCCCTCCCTGTCTCCACACTCCTTGCCATGGAACTTGTAAGTGTCCGTCTCTTGGACTCTGAGCTCAGCCATGTGACTTGTTTTGGACGATGGGATATTAGCAGATGTGATGGGGCAGAAGCTTGAAATGAGCTTCCATAATTGGACTTATTGCTGCTTTTGCCATCAACCTTAAGGACGTCTGCGGGCTGGGCTCACCCATAGGATGAGAGAGAATGTGGAGCAGAGACACCTCACCTGCCCCGGCAACGCCAGTCTAGATCAGTCAACAGCCAGCCAATGTCCAGACATGAAGGGCCCAGCCAGGGTTGGCAGAGCTACCTGGCTTACACCGAGTGTAAGCATGAACTCTGACTGTCGTAGCCGCTGAGGGCCTGTGGCAGCATTACCGTAGCAGTAGGTGATTGACGCATTCTTCATTAGAAAGTTGAAGCCATACAGAAAAGTATGAAAAGTTAAGTGGAAATCATCTGAAATCTCAGAGGTAGCCACTGGTGACATTTTGCTGGTGAACATCTCTCCATGTGCATGCACACACACACCATACACACGTCCTCCCATATTCAGAGTCACAGAATTAGGGTCATTTTGGCAAGATCGGGGCGGGGTTTGCGGCAAAGGCCACAGAGATGAGGGTTTGACGTCAGCCTCCTAATGACAGTGGTTTGCCTCAGCCTGTCTGGGAGGAAGTAACAATGATGAAAGGACTAGTATTGGGTGTGGAGAGAGGAAAATGAAAGGCTAAGGTGTCGGGGCAGTGAAGGAGGTTAAGAAAGATGTTGGTTAAGAAATCAGCCTCATTTGGGACAATAAAATGAGCAGGAATGGAGCCTTGGGAAAAAATCAGGCTGGTTTATTTAAAACCCTGTCACCCAGAACCCAGGGGTTCATTCAGTGACTATTTATGGATGCCTATTGTGTGTCATCGTATCCTAGGAGCTAGAGACTGCAAAGGTGAACAAGACGCCTGTCCCCAAGGGGCTTGTGGTCAGCTGGAGGAGAGAGGAGTGATCAAGTAATTAGGGTACAACATGATACCAGTTCTGAGAGGGAAGCATGGGAACAGAGAAGGTTTTCTAGAGGGAGGGCCAACCAGGCGAGGATCTGATGGGTGAGTAGGAGTTCTCCAGTTTGAGAGAGTGGGATGAGGTGGGGAGAGTGACCCCAGGGTAGGAACAGAATTTGCAAAGGGATGATGGTGAGAACAATCACTGTTAATTGAAATGAGATCAGGGAGCTGAAGGGGCAGGGAGGGTGACAAAACAGGTTAAAAAGAAAGATGGGGTGCTGATCCAGGAGAACAGTAGCTTTTAATTGGTTTTTATTACAACCTACAGTAAGAAAAGCATTTTCTATTTTGGCCCGCTACAATCACACACACACACACACACACACACACATACACACACACACACCTGTATGTGTACTTCTGAAACAAAGATCAACAAAGCAATATTTCACCCTGCCATATACCATTCATTCTGATATTTTCTACTCTGTTTTATTTTGTTTTTAAAATGTTGGTCAGGGGCAAAATTAGCTGATCACAAAATAGTACATATATGATTTCATTTATATGAAATCCTGTAACAGGCAAAACTCATCTATAGTGGTAAAAGTGAGATCAGTGGCTGCCTGGGGTGTGGACCGGGTGGGGCAAGATTAACTGCACAGAAGTGAAAGAGAACTTTCTTAGGAGATGGAAATGTTCCACATCCTGGTTGGGGTGGTGCTGGTTACATGGGCACATGCATTTGTCAAAAATAAATACATAAAAATAAATGTATGAGAGGGAACTTTCTTGGGTGGTGGTGTTCTATATCTTGACAAAGGATTTGCATTGCATAGGTGAATGCATTTGTCAAAACTCGTCAAATAGTACACTTAAGATTTGTGCATTTCATTGTGTGTAAATTTTACATCAAAAGGAATATAATTTTGGCCAAATATTGAACTGTACGTGATGATATGCATACTGAAGTGTTAGGAGGCAATATTCTGGTGTCTGCACCTCACTTTTTGTAATGCAACAAAAAATAAGATAGATTGGTAGATGCATAGAGGAATGGAAAGATTGACAGATATGTAATAAAGCAAATATAATAAAATGTTGATGCATGTCAAGACAATTCAATGAGGAAAGACTAGCCTTTTCCATAAATGATGCTAGGATAATTGGATGTCCACATGCAAAAGAATGAAGTTGGATCCTTACTTCACCTTATATACAAAAATTAACTCAAAATGGGCCAAGGACCTAAATGTAAGAGCTAAACTATAAAACTCTTAGAAGGAAACATGGGTGTAAATCTTCCTGCCTTTGACCAGGCAACGGTTTCTTAGCTATGACAAAAAAGCACAAACAATAAAAGAAAAAAGATAGATAAACTTGACATCATCACATTTAAAAGGGACACTATCAAGGAAGTGAAAAGACAATCCACAGAATGGAAGAAAATTTATGCAGATCAGATATCTGATAAAAGACTTGTATCTAGAATATGTGAACAAAGATTGCAACTCAGTTATAACAGTACAAACGATCCAATTTAAAAATGGGCAGAGGATCTGAATAGACATTTTTCTCCAAAGAAGATATAGGAGTGGCCATCAAGCACATGAAAAGATGCTCAACATTATCAGGGACATGCAAATCAAGACCACAATGAGATAGCACTTCACACCCACTAGTGTGGCTACTACCAAAAAGATAGGCCAAAATGTGCTCAGCATCATCAGGGAAATGCAAATCAGTGAGATACCACTTCACATGCACTGGATGTGCATATTACCAAAAAGACAGACAGCAGCAAGTGTTGGTGAAGATGTTGAGAACTTAGAACCCTCATACATTGCAGGCGGGGATGTAAAATGGGGCAGCCACTTTGGAAAACAGTCTGGTAGTTCCTCAAATGGTCAAACATAGTTACCATATGATCTAGCAACTCTGTTCCTGGGTATATACAGCGATGCGCTGCATAATGATGTTTCTGTCAATGACGGACCGCAGATACAATGGTGGTCCCATCAGATTGGTACCATGTAGCCTAGGTGTGTAGTAGGCTGTACCATCTAGGTTTGTGTAAGTGCGCTCTATGATGTTTGCACAATGACAAAATCGCCTAATAACACATTTCTCAGAATGTATCCCCATCATTAAATGACTCATGACTGTAACCAAGAGAAATGAAAATGTGTCCATATAAAAACTTGTACAATGTTCATAGCAGCATTATTCGTAACAGCCAAAAGGTGGAAACGACCCAAACGTCCATCAACTGATTGTGGAAAACTAAAATGTGGTATATCCATACAAGGGGATATTATTTGCGAATAAAAAGAAATGAAGTACTGATACGTGCTGCAACATGGATGAACCTTGAAAACATCCTGCTGAGTGAAAGCAGCCAGTCACAAAGGACCACATGTTGTGTGGTTCTGTTTATATGCAATGTCCACAATAGGCAAATCTATAGAGACAGGAAGTAGATTAGTGTTGCCCAGGGCTGAAAATGGGAATGGGAGAGGAGACTGATGGTCAAGGCCTACCGGGTTTCTTCCCAGGGTGAGGAAAATGTTTTAAGATTTATTGTGGTGAAGGTTGCACAAGTCTAAATGTACTAAAGCCATTGAGTTGTAGACTTTAAATGGGTGAATATTTTTTTTTTTAGGAAGATTAGCCCTGAGCTAACATCTGCCACCCATCCTCTTTTTTTTTTGCTGAGGAAGACTGGCCCTGAGCTAACATCCATGCCCATCTTCCTCTATGTTTTTATATGTGGGATGCCTGCCACAGTATGGCTTGACAAGCAGTGCATAGGTCTGCATCGGGGATGCGAACTGGCGAACACTGGGCTGCTGAAGTGGTATGTGTGACCTTAACTGTTGCACCACTGGGCTGACCCCTTTAAATGAGTCAATTTTGTGGTTTATGAGTTATATCTCAAGAGAGATGTTTTAAAATGGTAATATAGACATGTGAAAAAGTTGGTAAGTTGTTCTTCCCCCAAATTAAACAGTTATGCTCTTCAAAAGACACTATTAAGGAAATAAAAAGACAAGTCACAGACTGTAAAGAAATATTTGCAAATTAAATATCTAAGAAAGGACTTGTACCCAGGATATATCAAGAACTCTCAAAACTCAAAAATAAGAAAACAACTCGGGGGCCAGCCTGGTGGTGTAGTGGCTGGGTTCATGCGCTTCGCTTTACTGGCCCAGGGTTCGCTGGTTTGGATCCCAGTGTGGTCTACACACTGCTCATCAAGCCATGCTGTGGTGGCGTCCCACATACAAAATAGAGGAAGATTGGCACAGATGTTGGCTCAGTGACAATCTTTCTCAAGCAAAAAGAGGAGGATTAGCAACAGATGTTATCTCAGGACCAATCTTCCTCACCAAAAACCAAAAAATACCAAAAAGAAAAGAAAAGAACTCAATTTTTAAAAATTGGCAAAAGATTTGAACAGACATTTCACCAATATATATAGGCATATAGCAAATAAGCACATGAAAAGATGCCCAACATCATTAGGCATTAGAGAAATGCAAATCAAAACCACATTGAGATAACTCAACACACATATGAGAATGGCCAAAATTTTAAAAATATACCAACACCACCAGGTGATGGTGAGGATGGAAACAACTGAATTCTCATAGATTGCTGGTGGGAATGCAAAATGATACAGCCATTTGGAAAACATTTTGGCAGTTTCTTACAAACATAAAACATGTTTTATCATACTACACACTTCTCTACTCCTAGGCTTTACCCTAGAGAGATGAAAACTTAGGTTCCTGCAGAAACCCGTCTGCAAATGTTTACAGTGACTTTATTTGTAATTGCCAAAAATGGAAACAACCAGAGGTCTCTCCACAGGATGGAATACTATTCAGCAATAAAAAGAAACAGTCTTCTGATACACACAGCATCGTGGAAAAATCTCCAGCGCGCTGTGCATTATGAAAGAAGCCAGACTCAGAATGCTACATGCTGCGTGACTCTGTTTGCATGACCAATTATGGGGAGAGAAAATAGGGGTTGCCAGGAGCCAGGGTTGGCACCAGGGCTGGGGCGGGGGCCTGGGGTGAGCACTTTGGATGGAAGGAACTGTTCTGTGTCGTGGCTGTGGTGGTGGCTACTCGACTGTGTTTGTCAAAACTCGTAGAACCGTGCACTAAAAAGGGTGACTCTTACTGTATCTAAATTGTACCTTAATCTAAAAAATTAAAAAATATATGTTAATGGTAGAATCTAGATGGTGGGAATATAGATATTTAACATACAATTCTTTCAACCTTTTTGTATGTTTGAACATATTCATAATCAGATGTTTGGCACAAAATATCAAAAATATGTTAGGTGGTTGATCAAAGTAAATAAATATATGCATGACCAAAACAAGCAAACAAACAAATAATTAAATTAAAGACAGTCATTTCACCCTTCAAATCTTAAGTAATAATAAATCATAAATATAATAATTAAAGCATTGCAGGTCATGACTTAGTAAATCGATTGTATAAGCAATTGATGGGCCATGACTCTCACTTTGAAAAATATGGCTTTAGACCGTGTTAGGCACTTGAACTTGAACCTGAGAGAGCCTGGGGAGATCGGGCCTCCAGAATTGCACTGAGCTGGGCCGGTTCCCCACTCTGGGACCAGGGCTACTGGAGGGTTGAGGACTAGCTGGGGCTGTACCCAGCCCAGAGAGAAATGGCTGCCTGGTGTCCCCAGGGAAGCGCGACCAGGGGAAGAATCCTGTGTCCAGCCTCGTGGAGTCAGCTTGAGGTGACAGCAGAGGACAGTCGACATTCTGGAAGTCGTCTGTGCAGGTGGAAACTGCAGGCGCTCTTCAGCCCTCTGGACGGGTCATAGCTGGTTTCACTGGGTCTGGATGAGTGCTCCCGTTACGGCAGCCTGTCACTGGTGAGTCAGGCTTAGTTTAATTTACTAGTAAAATCATGTTTCCTGCGTCCCATTGTGTTTGGGGAGAAATTTATCCCTATTATATCTGACATATATCAGAGTTACCACTAATTTCAACTTATAAAGGGGTTCACGAATAAGAAAATGGTCTGCTATTTAAAAGTGCAAGTTTGGAAGCTTCTCATTCAGGCTCATTTCTGCAGTTTCAAGTCTGCAGTTCATACTTATTTCTGCTTGTGTGTCTTACCTACCCATGGTCTTGTAGCTCAAGATAAAGCCCAGCGTCCCCTTTGCCAGGCTCACCTCCTGACCTCTGTGCCATTTACCCAATGCTCAGAATACTCACAGTTCTGAGGGGGAGCAATGTCTTTCACGCCTCTCTGCCTTTGCATAGACCTTTTTCTTCTCTTGGCCCCCTGGTGAACTCCTATTCATCCTTCAGTACCCTGCTTAAGCTGCACCTCATCTGTAGAGACTTCCCTGGATTCCTTCTCCTTATGACAGAGCAGTGATTCCTTTATCTGCATCTCCACCTATCTGTGCACGCAGCTGGAAAGTCAGGCTGGCTTTCTCTCTGGATGTATGAAATGCCATAGGAATTTGTTGTTTCAAATAAAATTAAGTCTGATGCCAAATCCGCAAGCCCCAGAGTATAATAAATTACTCTCAGTGATTGCTGGAGTCTCTCCCTGCCTCCAGGGTGAAGCAGAGTGTGGAAGGATCATGTGCAGTGCAGACACTTACGGGGAGCCTCTGGGCTCTGATCTGCAAAAGGCACCACAGAGCAGTGGCTGGACGCAGGCAGCCTCCCCTCATAGCATCACGCAGTCATTCCCACTGGGTCTTGTCACCTCCCTGGGCACCCTGAGGCAGCACGGCATCATCCCACAACCCCAAAATGCCCCCCTTCCCAGTTTGGGGAGCTCTCCTGCTTCTGAGGCCCCTGTGTCTGCCCCGTCTCCCTGAACCCTTCTCTTTGGTCCCTTCCTCCCTGGGAGGTTTCGCTGGAAACACAGTGTCGGTCTCACTTGCCTAGAGGAGAGGCCAAGGGATGCAGACGCCCGCCAGTTTCTGACTAACTCACACCCCGCTCCCCATCAGTTAGCACTTACCTCACTGTGTGGCAGTGATTTATTTCCCCGCCTGGGCCTTCCTCTGAACTGTCTTAGTGACCTTGGCCTCTAAAAGGCGAAGAGTGGGTTTTCTAATTGTGTGCAAGTTTTTAAACCTCTCTGAGCCTCAGTTTCCTGGTCTGAAAATTGGGGACAGCGATAACCACACTTGTAGCAGTGTGGTTTGGATGAACCAAGGTGATGCATGTTATCCCTTAGAACGGTATCTGACATGTACCAATGGCTCAATAAATATTGGCCGCTATTACCACTTTTTATTCTCATTATTGTTACTTGCAGTGGATGTTTGGCTGCCTACCCGATAGTCATTCTCAGTTCCTTTTGTTGCACTATAGAGACTGAAAATGCAAAGTACTTACCTTCCCAGCCTTGCTGGGCATGGGCATGTGACCTAATCTTGGGCAGTAGGACTTGACTGGAAGTGTTAGAAGAGGCTTCTGGAAAAGATTTTCTTCTCTGCTAAAAAGACAGAGAGAGAATTTGGTCATGGAGAGAGGTGATACTTGGAGCTGTGGCAGCCATCTTGTGATCATGAAGGCAAGGCTAAGGATGAAAGTCAACATGGTGAAGATGTCAGAGCATAAAGATGGAAGGGTCAGGGGCCTTTATGACCCTGTTGAGTTGCTGCCCCAACCCTGGAACCTCCTACCTTGGAATGCTGTTAAATGAGATCTGAAACGTCCTTATTATGAAGGCCACTTTTAGTTGGGTATTCTGGTATTAGCTGTGAGTATTCCATTGAATACATTATTACAAAGATTTATAGTCAGTAGCTGTTGAAAGAAAGTGGCAGTGCCAGGATGGAAATTCTGGACTCCTAAGGCCCAGGAAGTGGGCTTTTGATGACTGCCCCCTACTGTCTAGTGCCCACACTCCCCCACCCAGACTCACATTAGCAGAAGAGCTGGCTGCCAACTGAGGTCATAGATGGGTAATGCTTCTTGGCCCGCTAGTGTGTGTTGGCTTCATGGGCAGTCCTGCAGGGTGTCCATAGGAAAGCAGGTGAACACATGGCCAAAGAAAGTGCTGGAAGGGAGAGAGGAACACTCACAAGTGCATAATCCAAAGTCCACAGGCTCTGTTTTTGCTCCATCTTATCACACAGCCTTGTTCATTTAATCAGGGGCATCCCGTAATCTAAGCTGTAACATGGCGTTCAGTGTGCTGTTGGCTGGCAGAGAGCCATTACATATGGCATCTGACCTTGTTTCCCCGGTGCTTCTAACCCCGTTCTGCTACGTTATTCGTTATTCTCTTGTGTCGGAGGCTCTGTCTCTCTGTTGCTGAGAAAAGGGGGGCAGGGGTTAGGCTTCTCTTGATTCTAGTGAATTTTGTGGCTAGAAAAAATTTCGTGGGAAAGACAAATGCACAACATATTTTTACCACAACAACTACCGGTCCCATGGTGGTGCAGGATGTCACAGGAATAACTGTGTGTACCTTGTACAGGTTCGTGTAACACGTGTACACTTCTTGTTTGCTGCTCCTACGGCGGGTCAGAAACAAGCTGAAAAGCGAGGAGCGGTGGGATAAATTCATTTTAAGAATATGATTGGTCTCCTGGAACCAAGAAATGTCATTTCTCTGGCCCAATGCTTTTGCAGGCTGCCGTGTTCTCGTCTCCTGTCAGCACATCTCTGTGTGTATGAGCATATTTCATCAACACATTAACCACACTTCCTAGGATCAACATGACAGCTTCAGAAACACACGCCTTTCCTTTTCAAGTTCTCATCCAGTCCTCTCCACCTCCGCAGCAGCTCATTCTTGGTGAAATGTTCTCGTGCGTCGACTTACAAGATTCAGCACTGAGTCTCTGATCACCTTTTCTCTTACTTTTCATCCTCCTCTAAGTGGAATCATTCACCTCGTCCTTCTCCTCCTTGCTCAGCTCGTTTATGAACATACCTTTCTCATAGTGGATATATGTCCATCAGGAAAGCTTCAGCAATGTGTAAGTATATAAAGTCATGGCACAGTTTCCCCTGGATCTACGCCCATTCTGTCCAGACCCTCTTCCCACAGGAACCTCTGTGAGGAGCTGGGGATGCACATTCCCCTGGACCTCGTACAAGCAGAGATGTAAGCTGACAGCGTGGTTCTGACGGCAGCTCTCTGTTGATAATCCCGTCTCTACATCTGGCCCTGCCCGTCCTCCCATGTCCTAGTGTCTCAGACCCACACCTTGTGGCCGTTTCCCCCTAGCTTTCTCTCAGACCCCTCAGACTCCAAATGCCCAAGACCAAAGTCGTTATCTTTCTCCAACCTTACTTCCCCTTCTCTGTTCTCAGTCTCAGTTAATAATGTCATCATCCAATTAAGCAAGCTGGAAATGATGTCGTCATCCTTGGCTTCCCTCTCTGTCTCTCCTCTTTCTCCCTCTGTCTCGTAAAAGACAGCCACGAGCCGCCATGGTCTGTCCGCTCCACTTCTGTACTCATTTTCACATCTGGCCTATTTCCCTCTTCTGCTGCTTCTGCCCTCGGCTAGGCCCTAACTCTCTCTCATCTGAATGAAAGTAACATCCTTCTCTGCTTTTTGTTGCTGGCAGCAGCCTCTGTGATAGCCCACCCAGGACCACGGTACCCCTTCTTCCCTCCCACGTCGTTCAGGCTGCAGTGGCCCACGCCAAGAGAAAGAAAGATGGTTGGCTGAAGACAGCAATCCCGTCCCCTTGAACAGATCCTCACTTTCCCAGGCTGCTTTGCAGGAGGGGTGGTGATGTGGTTCAGTTCTGGCCAGTAAGACATCTGGGGGAAATCTGGAGGGAGGCCCATGAAGCCAAAGACCTCTGCCCACACCCCGTGTGCACCACCATCATTTTCCTTTATGTTTTAGAAGTTTAAACTCTTTAGGCTGTACAGCCTAGCCCCCAACTTCTCTTTCCTCCGACAATGCCCACTGCCCACTCCACACCGCACGCTGGAGCTTGTGGGGAGGAAGCCCAAGTACACGTCAGCCCTCCATGGTAGCTGAACTCCAAAGACGGCCCCAGTTAACCCCGTCCCCCAGGAGTCACCATCTTGCACAGCCCCCTCCCACTCTGAATTGGCACTGGTCCTGTGAGTCTAGGAGTCTAGTTCTAGGAGTTTCACTCCTAGAATAGAAAGGACCTGATGCTGTGCCAGTCTGGGCGCAGTCTGGGCCAAGACGACCCAGCAGACACTGGTTCTGCCCCCTCGGGAGCCCTAAGCCACCGGAGAAGCAGTCCAACTGCGCTGAGACCCCTGTGCCGTGAGGAAGTGTAAGCTAACCACAGGGGAGGAGAACTGAGAACCTCAGCCGACACGGCGGACCAGGGCTCCAAACTCCTGATGGAGGCTGAGCCATTGCAACCAGCCCCTCCCCGGTGTCCCCGGAGCTGACGCCATGTGGAACAAAGACAGGCCGGGTGAGCTTTGGGGGTGAAAAAGTAACTGAAATCACTTCTTCTAGTCGAACTCAACTAGTCTTCTCCTCCTTGCAGTGACTGCTGCTCTTCTGCATCCCCACTTGCTTATACTGCCCTTTCAGTTTAGATTAGCTTTCCTTCTCTTCAAATTCATCCCACCCTTCAAGGCTCATCTTGACAGCCACCTCTTCCATAAACCTTCTCGATTCTGTCAACTCTGAATACTTGGGTTTCCTGGCCAGGTCTGGAGCAGGTCTGTGTCCTTGCCCACCTGCGTTCCCTCCCTTTCTGTTCTAATAGCACAGCAATTCTGTTTGGATGGGTGATCCCTCCCCCTTTTGGTGGAACTGTCAATCACGTTGTCCACTTACCTCTGACCTGGGCGGGGACCTGAAACCTGACTGGACCAGTCAGCTGTTCTCTCCCTCCGGTGCAAATGTGGAGATGGGTGACAGGGCTGCAGATGGTGGACAGCTGACTGGATCTCCATCAGCTCCTGCTGGCCGGCTCTCCCAAGCTGCTCTGATCCCTGTTCAGAGCACGAGCTGATTCTTCAGCTTTTCCTTGGAGTCTCTGAAGCCCCCGGTAGCCGAGACAGTAAACTCACTCATTATTCCATTTGTCCCCTTACGTCTCCCAGCCCCCTGCAGTTAGGGCAGACCGTGTGACTAGTTCTGACTGATGACATTAGAATAGAAATGACACATGTCACTTTCAGGCTGAGGCAGTAAAAAGCCCCTTGCGAACCTCCAGTCTCTAGAGACCCCTGCCTGGTCACCAAGGAGACTGTGTTTCAGGTGACATGAACCCTCTGTCAGTCTGAGGCCCTGAGTGAGCGCAGAGCAGAGCCTCTGCTGACCCACATGGGATTTGTCGCATGTCCCAGAAATAACGATTTGGAGGATGTTTGTTACAGCACCATAACCTAGGCTGTCCTGAATAATATATACCTGATATCCTACCAAGAAACATTTTTTTTGCTTCAACTACCCAGAGTCAGTTTCTTGCATGTAAAATAGCTTAACTGACAAACTCTAACAGAACTTAGCAGTTTCTTCTTTGATTTTACTCACTAACATCCATCTATCTTATTTTTTTATCAGCCGAGAGCACCCTGTCTCTAGGGACTATTAAGATTCATCTTCGCATCCTACCACACTGCCTCGCACCTATAAGGCTCTGGATAATTATTTGTTAGGATGAATGCAAAAATGGAATGAAAATGAAAAATTTGATGAGTCACCTGGATACTTTCTGTTTAACCTTGGTTTCCAAATCCGTTTTCAAGTGAGTTTTAATTAGAAGATATTTAAAAATATGATTGCACCTCTATTTTTATGGTGATGACAGCATATATATGTATATATCCACATATATATCTATTTTCAATCCTATTATAGGTTGTCATAACTTCAAAAAACTTTGTGAAATGCAAAAGAATAAAATACTTTTGAAACATCAAAACGACAACAATATTCACTGAGCTCTTAATTCATGACAGACACTAAATGTAGGGCTTTTGATTTTTCATCTTCCCACCCCACTACACTGCCAGTGCTGCTGTTTACATTGTATTGTAGACAAAGGGAGACCTCAGACTCATCTTGTTAGTGGTCCGTCAGGCTCCCAGGTGATGTCAGTGCTGCTGGTACATGGCCCACCCTGGGAAGAGAGAGTGGAGGATGTCCTTGTGTGGTAAGACTAGCCCCCGTCACTCAAGAGCTCTTCAAAGGCCAACTTGGGCCCAAGGAGAATGCTGGGTTTGATCAAGCTGCCCTGAGTTCAGGCTTTGATCACTGTTCTTTGAGTCGGTTAGGAAATCACCACGACCTTGTCTCTTATCTGGAAATCACTTTTCTGGTAACTTCACTGTCTCTGTAGAAAATAGTTGTGAACACAGAAGCGGGCAACACAGAGGCCTGAGAAGCGAAAATAGGTGTAACAAATTCTACACACTAAAAAGTGTATACTTTACTGATTTTTAGCTTTGTTTTTTGCCACTTTTCCAACAAGACTGCTCACTTGTTTGCTCAGGCAGGAGACATTAGACGAATGCAATTATAAGAAGGGAATAGGACTGCTGGTAGCTTGACAGAGGGAAGAATGGAAATACTATGAAAAGCTGATGCTACAGTTAAAAACTTGTGTAAAGGCAAAAAGCCCTAGATGTAATACTTGTCCTCAAAGACATCCCTGTACTCATCAAGAAAAGTCAGTGTTTGCTTAAGACAGCAGATAAATATATATTTTAGAATTATTGAGAAAATAGAAAAATGTTTTAAAATGTTGGTGCTTAAAGGGATAATCTGGTTATGTGGAAAATTTGCTTATGTATAACAATTCTCTAATAACGGATATATGTGGCTGTAACTATAACCCAATTTTATATAGTATCAATTTCATTATACGTAAGATCTTTATGATCACATACATATAGACTCAATTTATTTTGAAAAATAATATTCCTTATGATTATATAATAAGACATGCTTTTGGATAAAAAGTGGAAAATATAAGAAAATGGCAAGAAAAAAATTTACCTATAATCCCCCCAATCAGGGATATCTGCCAATAATATTTTGGTATATATTCTTCTAGTTTTCTCTGTCTCTTAAAATATTCTGCATTCTGTTTTTTTTCTGACCTCAGTGTTCTTTGAAAACATGACTTTTAGGCAACATAATATTCTGCAGAATTTTTACTTGTTCTGACCATTCTCCTTTTTAACAATTTGGAGACATTTAAGTTGTTGTCATTTTTCGTTGATAGAATTAAGGCTGTGACGCACTTCTCTGTACATTAACCTTTGTGTGCATCTCTGATCATTTCCTCGGGTAGATTCCCAGATGTGGAATTACAAGGTCAAAGAACATGATACGTCTAGGCTCTTGAGCACAGCGAAACTGCCCTTTAGAAAGACTGAACAGCCGACTGTCTCTGGAAGTGTGCGTGTTTCTCAGTCTGGCGCCTGAGCCTTCCCAGGACTGTAAACAGGAATTGCTTTTAAAGTTGACCTTTGGGCCCTGTGAGATGAGGGCTGAAGTGGAGGGAATCACTTTCGCTTTCTGCTCCACCAGCTCACACGCATCACCTCCACTGGATCAAACTTAAAATGTAATGAATCCAAAAGGTGGGTGAGTGTGGAGAGCCACAGAGGACTGTGATGAAAAGATGGAAAGGGCTTGACCTGGGCTGTGGGGAACCTGATCTCGAAGCTCCTCCTTTGCACTCTCTTCTTCGTTTATTGCCACGTGCTTTTAAAGAAATGAAAAATATGCTTTTCATTCTTTTTCATATTTTCACCCTTCCTATTAAATATTTTTAAAAATTCAGAAAAGAGAAAAAGATGACAGTCATCCATTTTCTCACCATCCAACATTAATCACTGTTAACATTTTGGCATATTTGCCTCTATCCCTTTTTTAAAGTTAATTTTCAAAAAGTGACACACTCTATGAATATATAGTTTTACTATTTCCATTTAAAATTAGGACATTCCAGATAAACCCCAAGGCTTCTTTACCTGGTACTCCCATTCCAACCCCTCTGCCGCCTTCTAGAGGTCCTCAGGTTTGAGTTTTGTGACAATATTTTCAGTCTTCAAAAAGAAAATACTTTTATGTGCATATATTTATCTACTGGAAATACAAAATATTGGTATTTCACATTTCACCAGTTTTGTGTAAATGGTAATCCTGCTGCATGATCTTTGTGTCTTGCTTTTTTCACTCCATTCCACGCTTTTAAGATTCATCCATGTAGATGTTTGGGAGTTAATTTATCCTTTCTAATGTTATATGATTGTCTGTTGTAAATGAACATTTTGCTTTTTCATTTCCTTATTAATGGTTGTTTAGGATGTTTTATTTTTTTTCCCTGTATTGCCAACACTGTTGCAGCAAACCTCCTCAAGAGCACAAGGGAGGTTTTCTCCAGTTAAATTCCTAGAAGTGAATTGCTAGATGAGCTTTTTCAATTTTGATAACACCAAATTGCTCTCCAGAATGGCTATAATATTTACAACTCCACCATATACATATAGGAATACAGGTCTCCCCTCACCCTCGGTAACATTTTGTCTTTTTTTTTTTTTTTGAGGAAGATTAGCCCTGAGGTAACATCTGCTGCCAATCCTCCTCTTTTTGCTGAGGAAGACTGGCCCTGAGCTAACATCCGTGCCCATCTTCCTCTACTTTATATGTGGGACGCCTGCCACAGCATAGCTTGCCAAGTGGTGGCATGTCCGCACCTGGGATCTGAACCGGTGAACCCTGGGCTGCCGGAGTGGAACATGCGCACTTAACCACTGTGCCACCAGGCCGGCCCATTTTGTCATTCTTATGGGGGAAGATTGGTATCTGTTTTTATTTCCAACTAATAGTAAGGTTGAACAGCTTTCCACACGTTTTTCAGCCATTTGAGTGTCCTCTTCTGGAAGATACAGTCTTTTGATCCACTGAGAGACTCAATTTTTGCACCCATGTTTGTAATATAGTTGGACTTGACATTTTCTCTAATTCTGCTGTACTTGTTTTGGTATCAAGATTAGACTAGCTTCATAGAATGTGTTGGATAGACTTCTCTGTCTTGTTGATATTCCCATACAGTTCGCGTAATATAGTTTTGTGGTTTTTTTGGGTTTTGTGTTTTTTGTGTGTATCACTCCAGTAAAACTGTCTTGGCCTAGGCATTTGGGGAGATGGAGAGATCTTCTATAGCCTTTTCAGTTTTATTGGTGATTATTGGGATACATCTCTTCTTCTTGGGTCAAGTTTTATAATTTGTCTTTTTGTCAAAAATTACCCGTTTTTCCATGGTTTTCAAATGTATTGGCATAAAGTTGTCCGTAGTATACTCTTATGCTTTCTAACGTTTTTACCCTATCTGGTATGTTTCATTTGCCATTTATAATATTGTTTGTGTCATTTTCTTGATCAGTCTTATAAGAAGTTTGTCTATTTTATTAGTCTGTAATAGAACATCAGCTTTAGGTTTCCATAATCAACTGCATTTTCTTTTGTTTTTCATTTCATTCATCTTTGCTTTTTGCTTTATTACTGTTTCCTTCCTCTGTTTTCTCTGGGTTTATTTAGTTATTTTTCTACATGTTAAATTGTACACACATTTCGTTTTCTTTCTTTGTAGTAAGTACACATCAGGCTATAAATTCCCCTCTAATTATTGTTTTAGTCGGACCCCACCAAATTTTGTTTTGTCAGGCTTTTATTGTCAAACATTTCTAAATGTTTTGTAATTTATATGTTGGTTTCTTCTTAATCTGTACCTATTTTTCAGTTCCCAAAATGTAGTTCTTTCTGTTTTAAAAATGTATTATAAAATCTTTCAACATACAAAAATGTATAAAAATGAAAATAATGAACACCCAGCTTAAGAAATAAAACTCAAATGTATGCTTATAATTTTAAATTTTATTTTTCATAAGCAATAGATTTACATGATAAAACACAAATCCTCCTGTCTTCCTGGCCCCCTCCTTAGAAGCAACTGCAGTTACTAATTTAAGGTGTATTCTGTGAGTTGTCTGGCTTTCTTTTTGTTGCCGATTTTTAATTTCACTTCACTGTGGCTCATGCATGCGGTCTGTAGCTTCTTTGGAATTCCCTGAGGCTCCCTTTGTGGCCGGTGCGTAGTCAGTTTCTATAAGTGTTTCGAGTGTGTCTGAAAAGAACGTATGTGCTGATGTTCTTTTCCTCAAGGACAAACCTGATCTCATCACTTCCTCTCTGATAGCATCTCTGGTCTTCAGACCCCCTTAACCTCTGATTTGGCCCCAGGCTTCCTCCTAGCCAAGGCCTCCGCCACCTCCCTTACGTACAACAAACTTATGTCCACATAGCTCTCGTACCTTTTAGGGTCAACTTTCAGAAGAACGTTTGAACTGTCAGCGTTGTCTTGTCACAGACAGTCCAATAATCTGGCACATCAACGGTCCCAATGGATACTCACTGAGCCAACTAGAGAATGGGCTGTCTTCTGAGGGTAGAGCCATCAACTCCAGGCTTTACTCACTACTTGCTCCTTCTGAGGCCGAGCCACCTCCCTGAGACCTCTGGTTGCTGTACCCCTCCAGGCTAATTTTGCAGCACTGTCCCTACTTCCTTTCCCTGTCTGCCCATACCACGGTGGATCACTTCAAAGACTCCACCAACACTCTCCAGGTGCCTTGCCTTCTAGAATCAGCTGCATATGTCCAACCAAGACATACCCCAGGATGAATCCCCACTGAGCTTCTGCTCTGAGGCCCCTGGCGTGGGGATGGGAGATTGTAGGGGGATCAGGTAAGCGACTGTCCTCTCTACACATTGATGGTTTCAACCTTAGCTGGAACCTCACTTTCGCATTCCCTTCGGCATCTCTTCCAAACCTTTTGATGCCCTTCAAATCTCCTGGCATCTCCCCAGCCCCTTTATTCAGCAGAATGATAGTTTGCTACGTTATGAAGAAAATAGAAAACATCAGGGGCGAGCCTTTATCTAGCCATTTCACCTCCCTTTCTCCTGTTCAGCAGTGGCTTTCTTCCTGTCTAGGATAAGAGTAACCTTGTCTTCATATGTCCGGACCCCATTCTCTTCTGTCTCCCATTTTTATTCTATTGATTACTCCCTCTGCTCCGAAGTCTTCATGTCTCGCCTTTCCAGACCATTCTTCCTAAAAGTAGTCAGCACTCCCTCTCTACTTGCTCAGCTTCCATGCGTTTGCTCCTCTTGGAGGCCGATCTAGCTTCCTCCTGTCTCTCTGGGCTTTTACTGGCCATCAAATTCTAAAGCAGCGGCACGTGTTTCTTGACTGCTCCAGAGCACTGACACCTCAGACCGTACTCTGCTTCTCAATACTCCCTCCCACCTGTTTGCTTCTCATACCACTCAATCTTGAGTCCCTTTCTTCTCTTTCTACCTCCTTTCTTGGCCCTTTAATCCTGAAATGTTGGCGTTCTTAGCATTTTCTGTTTGTGTTCCTCAGTTTTTATTTCTCTACACACCAGGAAAGCACGTTTCGTTACAAAGGGACCAAGCTCTGAACAAGTGCTACTGTGGGAGAATGCTGGCCCATTGTCGCCAGATTGCCTTGTTTTTCAAGAGCTGTCAGATACCCTAGGGTTTTATGTGAAATGCCTCAACTTTAAATATTGATAATGAATTCAAAATTTTACAAAATTGTGCAGAGCAAACAATACATGGAGGGTCCTCCTTAGGGCTGTTCTCCTCTTATTTGCCTTAAAATGCCCCTAAGGCATTTTATAAAGTATTTTATTAGAATGGTAACTCACACTTATTGACAGTTATTGGCATGATGTGCCAGACACTCTTCTAAGTGGTTTGCATGAATTAACTCGTTTAATCCTCTCAACAGTCCTATCGACAATGTGCTATTATTATCCCTGGTATATAGATGAGCAGCCTCAGGCAGAGTTTCAGTACTTTGTCCTGGGTCTCAGAAATACGGGGTTTAAGAAACAGGATTCAAATCCAGACGGTCCAACTCCCGAGCTCAAGCCTTTAACCCCTGCACTCCACTGCTGTCCCCATCAGCAGAGGAGGAAGCTGAGGTCTAGAGAGGTGAAGTGTCCAGGCTCCCAGGAGCAGTAACTGGCCAAGCAGGGATCTGAAGGTATCGTCACAGAAATAGATACCTGCACTTTCAAGAGTCCTGAAATTAGTTACCTATTTCCACTGCTAGACTGCATACCTATACCCTACTCTCAGACTAGGGACTGGAGTACAAACGTGTGTAAAATGAGTGCCCTGGAGACTCCAAACAGTCCATTCACTTCTAGTAATAACTTCGTTTACTTTTCACAACGATCCCTAGGTAAGATGGTAGCCAGCACTTAATCAGCACTTCCACGCGCGTCATCTCTGAAACCTCACCAACACTCTATTTCATAGGACTATGATTACCCCCGTTTAACAGAAGAAACTGAGGCTCAGCGCAGCTCAGGACTTGCCCAAGACCGGGCAACCAGCAGTGGCAGGGCCAGGATTCTAGCTCAGGCTGAGTGACAACAGACATTCATTCTTGACCTTGAGGCTACGCTGTCGGTTCTACAGATGGGGAAACTGAGGCACTAGCTTGTGCTCACCGAATTGCGGCCACGGGGTGGGGGGCACGCTGCACTCCTGCTCCTCCTCCTCGCGGGGTGCGGGCGGGGCGCCGGGCGGGGCGCGGGGCGGGAGCTGGAGGGCGACAAGCAGAAGCCCTTCGCAGTGAGGCGCGCGGCCCGGGAAGCGCCTAGCTGTGGACCTAACGGACAGATCCCGCAGCCCCAAGACAGCGGCGCCAGCGGGCGAACAGGAAGTGCGTCACCCGGTGGGCGGGACAAGGCCGCGATGGCCACCAATGGGAGCGCCGCGTCCGCCCTCGCCCCGCCCCGAAGGAGGAGCCGAGGCCGCCTTTCTGCCGTCTCCTCGGACAGTGTGGGCTGCGCTTGGGCGCCTCGGTGGGTAACGCGGGGCACGGGGGCGAGAGGCTCTCGGGGAAGCAAGAGGGCCGTCCAGGAAGGCGAGGGGAGGGCGGAGGTAGGGCTCAGGCGCCGGGTCGGCCCGCGTGCTGCGCCGGGGCCCGGGGCCTCCGGGCTTTGCATTTCCTGGTGGGGAAACTGAGGCCCGGAGACCGACAGCAGAGGCAGGTGGACTGGCACCTAGTCGCTCACACCCACACAGACATCTTCGAATCGTAATCTTAGGTGAAAAAGTACTTTTAATCATAATATTAGCTGAAAAAGCGAAACACAACATTTTAACTGCGTACGTGAACTACGGCCTCCGCCGACCACCCTCTCAGTTGCTCCCGCCCGCCCTCTCGGCTTCCCGTCTGTTTTGTGTACAGAGCTGCTTATTTTGTGCAAGTCCACAGCCTCTCATTGTACAGCCGTGAGGCTAGATGTGCAGAATCCCCAGTTTCTGGAATTTTCGGAAGGCAGTATGGTGCATGTATTCTGCGTTGTGTCAGACCTCCAGCGGGGTCTGGGGCAGCGTCCTGTCGTCGAATGCATTCATGTTCTCACAGCTGCCTACATGCACGTTTACTCGAAAGGGGATAAGAGCAGCCGTAAACAGCCTCGCCTTAGGTCAGATCAGTTTTTCAATCTTAAAAGACTTGGTCCTCGGACCTTTTTAGA